TATGTAATCAATTAAAATTGTTGTGCAAAATATATATATATTTTCTGTAATAGAGAAAATCAAATAAATAATAATGAGTGTGCCACTTTGGCAGCTACCACCCATTTTTATTTCAAAATATTTCTCTTTGTAGAAGAATAAGGATCATCTCAAAACCCATGAAAAATTAATCATAAAATAATAATTATACAACAAATCATAATCATTAATTGATAAACAACAAAATTTATATATATGATTGAGAGACAAAATGGGCAACAAAATTTCAATATTTGAAAAGTGGAATTTAAATAAACAAATAATAACAACAATTGAATTAAACATTTTGACGAAAATATAAAAGTCGTCAATTATTATTATTATCGACATAATTTTAAACGGGTTAATTTTAAATAAAAATTTTAATTTGGGTCAAAAATGAAATTTTAGAGTCAAAACCCATTTAAAAAATTTGCAACATGACCCCTGGTCTAAAATTATTAATAGGCCCTTTTAATTATATAAATTAGATGACAAGTCCTCATTTTATTATTTACAATCTTAACCCCAATCTCTAATTGCAGACAGGGGCTTGAAACTAGACTATTTGCAATAGGAGCCCCCATCACCATAACACTCATATGTCTACTGAAAACCCTAGGACCCTGAAAGAATTTTAGGCGACGGCGATGGCAAGGATGGAGAAACAAAAGATGAAGGTTGATGGGTCAGTTTTTATGGAAAAATAGAGAGAAATCCTTTTGAAAAGCTGTCAACTATCATTTAGAATTGCTTCAATTAGTTTACACTATTGGAGAAAAACTCATTATGCTTGGCAAAATTTGCACATTTTAACAAAAAAAAATTTCACAGAAATAAGAAAATATTCATCCATGGAACAATTATATATACCAGCAATACATGTGGTCGGCTTTAGATCTTGCCACAGCCAAAATCAAATCTAAAATTCATTAGAGTAGTAGGAAGTCAGTTTTGGCTGCAACAAGGTGTTTTCACAACTTGGGTTTTGGATTTATTTTCATAGTTTATACAATGAATGTATAATATACATGTATGCACACGTGAAAACATTAATGCTCCCTTCCTTCTTTATTATTATTATTTTTTTTGTTTTTGTTTCAAAACTTTGAAAAATTAACAATTCCAAAGACTCGAATTGATGGGTAGAGGAAACTTTAGAATTATTCAGTTAGAGAAAGAATATTGTTTTAATGACGGATTCTGATCTTAGCATGATGGCTCTGATACCAATTGTTGAATTTAATTGTAATCATGCTAAAAATCGAAAATTACAAAATAGTAAATTAATAAATCGAATTCATATCTTCGGAAGTCATTGTTGATATGAATAATAGTTGTAATAACAGTCAAGATCTCACTTCCTTGCTCCTCACGAAGTATTAGCTATCAATGGGACAAGCCAATAAAACATATAGAGAGGAGAGGGGATCTAACATTTATATAGGAAATAATTGAGTCGTCCCATTACGACTAGAATTCTAATTAGGGTTTATTTTCGGCCCACATACTTTAAATTACCATATCAAATTAATTACAACCCGTAAGGTGTAAAAGACCCAATTGATCACCTCATAAATTTGGCCCAAACACAAATATCATTATGAGCCATACATCTAACCCGTAAAATTTGCAATCGAATGTGAAGTCCACATATGGAATTATTAATTATTCCAACATTTCGTTCCATTTCCACCACAACTATTGGTTCTCTAGCAATCATTGTGGTTATATGGGGCTTTGATTCCCCTTATATATGCACTTCTCATTCGATAAACTTTGCAAGGGCACTTCTCATGTCGAATCAACATATTAAAGCGATGATGGAAGGAAGTTCAATAAATGTCTTGTTTGTATGTAATATTTTGGATTTTGTATAAGTTGAAAATGAGGAAAGAAATTAAAAATTAAGTCTAACCCAAGAGAATAAAACTCTACTTTCACTTGCCCTTGAAAGTACGGCTCTCAGTGCGTGCATGTTTTTGACAATTTTTTGCTTCTTTTTATTTAATATAATATAGTCCAATATAACTTACACACATTATATAGCATCTATTTTTTCATGTGACTATTTTATGGATTATCTTAATTTGCAACATAATAGAGGTTGCTATCCAGAACTTGGTAGTTGTTATTGTGCCAATGAATGAGATTAATTATATGATATTATGATCTAATGAAGCTATACTTTTTGTATTGTTGTGTCAAAAATTAAAATATAAATTTTTTAAAACATAACATTAATGAATATAAGTTTATATATTGTAGTCTATTTGCATTCATGACTTTTTTTTCCTTAAAGGAGAAGTAGTTTTCTCGCCCAAAATATTGCTCAAGCGAAATCAGGTGTGTCATTGGCGTCTTTAAGACACTCGAGCGAAACTCAGATGCTCCAACGATGGTAGGCTTCAATAATATGCATTCAAGTGTCTTCTTCTAACCTTACCTTGTCCTCCAAAGACGATATAGATTAGTGCAGTACAGACTACAAATTACATACTTCACCTACTCTCTCTCAACATCAGGCAACACAAGTTCCACATCGAATTACAACACAAACCCCAATGATGAGAAACAAGTTTGAATGAAAAAGGAGAGGAAAAATAAGGAGAGAAAATTTAACATAAATATTAAAACCTTTAACTTCAAACATAAAAATTTCATACCTAATCGAAGAATAGAGATTGAAATTGGAAATGGGAGGAGGGTTTATACGAGATTGAGGAAGAGTCTCCTTTCTTTTTTCTTTTTTTCAATTGAAGTACAGAGTAAATTGTAGTTTGTAAACGGGAGAATAGGTAAAGGACAACTATAGAATTTGAAAAAAAAATAAAAAAATTCAAACTTCAAAATTCAAATGTGGGGTCACTTGACCCCACAGGACCCATGTTGGTCCCGCTAGTGTGATCTAATACTTCGGCACGTTGAAAACTTGGAGCAAATTAATTACCTCGTTTCGCCCCCATTAATTTTCATTCCATCACATTTTTTTCTCTCTCCTATTTTTAACCACTCAATTTTTCATACATTAATATCGTACATAAACCAAAAACTTTCCTACCTTTACAACCACTCATTTTTCAAAAAAATACTATTTCATCCATTTTTTATTTCTACAAAATGGAGTTCAAACGGGGGCTAAGTAGTAAGTAAACACTCATTCATGTTTTGAATCTTCCATCTTTCATCTTCTGAAAGGTAAATAATTACTTCTTATAAGTAGGCCCGAGATTGTTTTGGTTTGAGTTGGTTTCGACTCTAACTCGAAATCAAAACCAAATTAGTTAGTTTAGACAAATTTCTCTGTTTAGATGAATTTCATACCTAATCGAAGAATAGAGATTGAAATTGGAAATGGGAGAAGGGTCTACATGAGATTGAGGAAGAGTCTCCTTTCTTTTTCTTTTTCTTTTTTTCAATTGAAGTACAGAGTAAATTGTAGTTTGTAAACGGGAGAATAGGTAAAGGCCAACTATAGAATTTGAAAAAAAAAAAAAAAAAAAATTCAAACTTCAAAATTCAATTTTTTTTGTGGGGACCCATGTTGGTCCCGCTAGTGTGATCTAATACTTCGGCACGTTGAAAACTTGGAGCAAATTAATTACCTCGTTTCGCCCCCATTAATTTTCATTTCATCACTTTTTTTTTCTCTTCTATTTTTAACCACGCCATTTTTCATACATTAATATCGCACATAAACCAAAAATTTTCCTACCTTTACAACCACTCATTTTTCAAAAAAAATACTATTTCACCCATTTTTTATTTCTACAAAATGGAGTTCAAACGGGGGCTAAGTAGTAAGTAAACACTCATTCATGTTTTGAATCTTCCATCTTTCATCTTCGGAAAGGGTAAATAATTACTTCTTATAAGTAGGCCCGAGATTGTTTTGGTTTGAGTCGGTTTCGACTCTAACTCAAAATCAAAACCAAATTAGTTAGTTTAGACAAATTTCTCGGTTTAGACGAATTTCAATATAAATCAATCCGTTGTAGTTCTTAAATCGAACCGAATCGAATTGGGTTCGGTTAATCAGTTTGGACTTTTAGTACAAATTGAATTTTTTTTTTTTTTTAAAATGTTCGACTTTTGAGCCCACTTAAATTACAAGAACTAAAATAACTAGATAAATTTATATTACAAAAATAATTGATAACAAATAAAATCAAGTTAATAGAGACAAATCAACATAAAACTTAAAAGTTTTCTTGTTTTTTTATGTATTATGTAGTTTAACTACCTGAGTAAGGAAAAAATATTAAGTATAACATAATAAACTTGCGAAAGAAAATTTGCAATGCTATTGTTTATCGGCAACATTATAAATTGGAGGGAATTGAAATATAGTTATGAGATTACGACTTTTTTTAAAAAATTTTTAAATAAAAAAAAAAAGTAAACGTGTAAATGAGTTTGGTTAGTTCGGTTAACTAACGATTTGAGGCTTCAAATCATGGTTGAACCGGTCGTCATGATTTTGTGTAAAATAAAATGAAACCAAACCAAACTAATTACACGTGTCAAACCGATTGATTTGATTGGTTTGAATGTTTTTTCAAATTTTTTGCCCAAGGCAAACTAAGTTTAAAACGTTTATTTGTAAGTAATAAGTCAGTCTTAAAATAAATATTTTTTATGATATTTAAAAGTAAGTATCCGTAACATTAATTTTAGCATATTTTTTTATTCATATTCATAAATTCTTTTTAAAAAATTCTAATCATTTTTTATTTCACAATTGGAGGGAGTTGCAAGTACCATCCACTTATTCACAATTCAGGTCTACCTATGCATAGTTGAAATCATATAAAATACCTCCAAAATATGAACTTAATTTTTAATTTTCAGTAAAACATTTGAAAGTTTTTGGCGGTAACGGGCTCCCTACAAATATGTCCGTCTGAATAAGCTACTTATATGCTTAGCTCCTAAAATTACTTATAAGTAACTTACCATTTTGAAGGCATAGCCAAACATGCTCTTCCATCTCCCAACAAAAACCCACTCTCTCAGTACAGAGCAGATTTGTACTGAAATCTGAGAACCTGAAGTTTTAGAGAGAGAAGATGAAAGGAGGGAAAAGGAGAAAAACCGCGAAGTCCGTACAACCCCAGCATGCCCCTCCGCCACTAGCTTCTCCACTTCAGCCCTCTGCCTTTGCCACGACCGTCAGTGGTGGCGGCGATATGGTGGCGGGGGTGGCAAAAAATCCTGAGGAAAGTGAAAGATTTGAAGCTACTGAAGCTGCTTTTGAAGAAGAAGAAGAAGAAGAAGAAGAAGAAGGGAAAGAGGAAGATTCTGAGCAGTTGGAAAACTCGAATGAAGAACTCGAGGTGGAGGCAGAGAGGCGGAAGCTAGCTGATGGGTACTATCTGATTGAAGCTGTGCGCAGTAAACGCATTCGTAAGGTATATAATCATCCCTCTGTGGTATTGTTCTTATTGTTAGTTTTGTTTGTCTACTTGGAGTAAGAAATGAAGGACTAATGGGTAAGATTTATTGAAATATACTTTTATATATGATGATTTATTGATTTGTGGCCCCCTCTTATTTTTCTCTGTTTGGAATGCGGTGAAAATGCAGGGCCAAGTTCAGTATCTGATTAAATGGTATGTAATCCAGAAAATCAATATGCATATACCGTATTATGCGAAATTTGGAGATAATAACAATATTTATGTTTAAATTGCCCGAAAATGATTTGTGTTAATTAATGTAACGGATGTTTTTGGAAAGGCAAGGCTGGTCGGAGGCAGAAAATACATGGGAGCCTCTGGATAATCTACTGCCATGTTCAGATGTTATTGATGCATTTGAAGAAAGGTTTTATTATTGTTTCTGTTTTGCCTTTGTTTTATCAATGTTACTAGTGTTATAATATATTTCTGAATGTAACAATTACAATGTTATTATAGTTTGATTATATTTATATAATGTGTGTATGAATGCCCGGTTGTGACATTTTTTCTTTGTGATCTCGTTGTTATATTGGATTTGAAGTTTGAAAGCAGGGAAAAGTTGGTCAATGCGTAAGAGAAAGCGCAGGTGTGGTATAAGTTTCACCCGTACCAAGAAAAACGATCAACAGCAATCACCTACGGCTGCAACTTACAATGTGCCCTCACACAGGGTTAGGATTAAAAAAGGTCCTATACCCTTTCCTCAGATAAATGACTCTGCTGCTGCAATTGACAATGGAAAGACTCGTGTTATTGTGAACCGTGTTGAAACGTCCAAGAATGTAAATGAAAATGGTCTAGAACTGCTTTTAGAAGGAAGAAATGAAAAAGGCGAGTTTGATTTGAAGCTATGTGAACTAAAGGGAGCAACGATAACGAGTGAGTGTAATATGGACAGGCTTGCTGTGCCTTCTCAAGTAGGCCAAGTGACAAGAGGAGATGCCTTTGCAAATGGATTGGAAATTGCTGATGTTGTAGAACCACCTCTGTCGAGTCAATGCATTGGAGCTAGAAAGAGGAAATCTGGTTCTGTCAAGAGGTTCAAGAATGGTCCAGGATCGTACACGATGGATGTTGCACCGAATGCAAGAGAGCTGGGTACTACTATTGCTCGGATCATCAAACCTATAAGCTATCAAATTTCCATATCTAACAACTTTGAAGAGGTTTTAGTTGCCTTTGATGCTGTGAGGTTTGTCATCTTACTCGAACTTTCTTACTTCATGTTTAATTGGTGAATTACATGCATTACATAATGTGAATCCCATGCACTAAAGTTAGCATGACCTTCTCTTTGGAGGATGCATATATTTTAAGATTTGCCTTTAAATCCATAGAAGAATGAAAGATTGTAAATGTTACTTTATGAAGTTGAGAGTTAGATAGAGTAGATGCTAATTGGCAAGGGTGCTTAGTCGTACTATCTCCATTTCTTGGTAATCTCTTCTGTCTATGTTGGATCAAACAATAGGAGGCTGTAGAGCTATCTTTTAAACTAACTGTTCCAACTATATGTGACAATGATATCGTCGGCATTGGCCTTTTGTGGCATTTCTTGTATACTAGAATTTGAAAGGGAAAAAAAAAAAAAAAAGAAAATGGTTAGAAGGGGTTGTACCAAATTTAATGTCTTTTGGGTAGATAAGGTAAAAGGGGATATTGTTAAGATAATTTAATTTCGACTATACATTTAAGAACTTAACAATAAATGCCATAACTTTGTGTGCAGTGATGCACTGAAAATTTTGGATGTACTTGCTGCCTACATATATCTATTTCTTATCTAGAGGAAGATAAAAAATTTGACTGTAACGACCTGCTAGTTAAAATATTATTTCCGGAAAAAGGAGAATTCTCTGAAGTGTGGCCTGATTTTCTGTAGCTTACAACATCATTTGGGTTGTGTTTATATTTAAATTTTTTCAAGAAAATAACCACGTAATCCTCTTGAAATTTTGAGTTTTAACAGAGGTTAGTAACTACTATGATAAACTTTGGAAAATAATGTATATTCTGTTCTACTTTTAACAAATGTGGCACATGAATCTTGACATCCAAAACTGGTCCCTGGCATTGCAGTTACTGAATGAAAATCATGCTATTTACATGGGTTGGGGATAAGCGTTGTGTTTTGGTTCAATTTTGGAACTTTTGACTTCATGGCCGTTCATATTGACACCAACTCACCTTTCTTGAAAAGGTTTTTGCCTCTTCAAAATTATTTGAAGCCCTATTATTGTTTATCGACATGGAACAATCATGTAAGTGTTTTTCAATGTATTACGTACTTGCTTGGCTAAGATTGTCAAGTGCTTATAAGTAGTGGATCCCAAAAAATGTATAGTTGAAGAGTAGTTGTAGGTCCTAAGGAATGTGTAATTAAAAATGACGTTTGACTGACTTGTGAGCTGGAGAAATCCTTGCCAAGCATGCTCTAAATGTTTAGCATTGAGAATAATTAAGATGTTTAACATTTCCAAAAAAATCCGAATGTTCTTTTGAGTAAACTCAAAGATCAGATTAGATGAGTATTGCCTTTACTCTTTAGTTCCTTTTCCTTTTTAGATTGCATTCTAGTTTGTACAGTTTTACAATATTTAGGTTGTCGAGAAGCTTACGTGTTCATGAATCTTTCTATTCGTTAAATTCTGTAATTTTCGTGGCTGCCTACAGGCTTGATGGTACTAAAGTGACGGTGGATAACAAATTTTTGAAAGCTAACAATCCACTTCTGGTAAGTGTTTCAATCTTGTACGGTTCGCTAACCATGAATGTTTGTTCGACATAGTAGTAATTGAACTGCCTAGTATTAAACTAGCAATCTTATAGTGTTGCTTTCTTTTAAAATGCAGCTGATAGACTTTTATGAGAAAAATCTTCGTTACTGTTCCACATGTTGAACGTGTTAGTGAATAGAGGATAGAAGAAGGAGCCTCATCTTTGCGATTCTCCATGTTCAGTGTTGACAATCTTTTCGAAAAGCTTAAATTGTTAGAGACCACATGTATTCATCTTAATCTCTTCTTAAGACTAGATTAGAGTCTATGTATCTAGGTATTTCACAGGGAAGATGGCAAATAGCGTTAGTAAAACTTGTTTCACTCTCTTGTTTGCCTGTTCGCAAACTTGATTTGATATTACATGCTTTCATCGCAAGTATTTTTTCTTTGCTTCGGTACGAGTGTTGCTTTTACATCTAATTCGACTTAACGGTTCATTTTTAAATAGGTATTACCTATCCAGGCTAAAAATCTGTTGACATGCCTCCATTGCCATCCCCTCTTTTTTATGATCTCTGGGCCTTCGTGCTATGAGATAATAATACTTTAATAAGTTGAACTATAGATTTAACGAGGGAGGGGGTGAGTTTCTTCATGGCCAATGCCCCTTTCTTCCATTCTTGTGGCATGAACACGCTCCAATTTAAGGAGAGCATCTTTACTTTAGTATTTGTTTGAAAATGTTGACCAGACAAGTATTGATTAAAAGTGTTCTTTTGTTTATAAGTAACGTCTTTATGCGTAGCATTTACTCTTTTTATGTAAGTAGGAAAATAAAAATTTTGTACTTTTATAATTCATTTCTCTCAATTGGATATTTTTTCATCTCTCTTCCTCATTTCCCTTTGAAACCCTAATTTCTTGTTTTCTCTTGCAAATCTAATCATCTATTTGTTAAAACTACTAAATTGTTTATAAATGGACAAACTTATTTTTCAATCACATGTTTTAATAGATTCACAAATATTACTTATTTATTTACCACTTATTTCTCTCTAATTATAAGCTAACCATTTATAAATTCTTCTTGGAGCTTTGGGTTTGATAAATTTAGGGTTCATTTGATTGTAAAGATAGAAGTTATGTGGAAAGAAAACGAATTTCAGCGAATTAAATTGCCTAGAAATTATTTTTTTTGAAATTTGTAAATTATTGTATTTGATTGGTATAATTTTTCACTTAAAAAATGTTAAAATAAAAGCAAGGTTGAGCAAATCTTCCGAACCGAACCTGACGGTCCTTGTCAAATTAAATACTCGAACGGGTATCTGAATTGAGAACCGACGGGTACGGTTCGATTCTCGGTTCTAGATCAAGAATCGAATCTTTCTAATTTTTTTTATATTGAATAAATCAAATTATTTTAATTTTATTTTTTTCTAAATAAATTAACAATTTCTAAATTCAAATTTTTTGTCCAATAATTTGTTTTATTTTTAATTTTTTAATTTTTTGCCCAATTATCCATTTTATTGTCTCATTTTTTAGACCAACAAGATCCAACCCACTAAATAACTTTAAACACCTACACTAAAGTGCTCGCTGACATTTCAAAACCTATACAATCGTCGATCGACGCTGTGACCTTCACAACTGAAATTTTGACCGTAGCGATCATTTGAACAAGGTAGTCTACTAGTCTCTAACATTTCAAAACCATTGAACGTGTCATTAGTTGTATTTATATAATGTTGTTATAAATGTTAAAAAATTTAATTATAGTACAGAATCGAACAGAACCGATCCGAACGGAATCGAACTCGAACGGTTCCATAATTATATTTGGACCCAACGGTTCCATTTACTAAATACCCGAAAATTTTGGTTCGGTTCTCTTTAAAATCGAACCGAACCGACCCGCGCCCACCCCTAAATAAAAAGTATTTTTTTGTGTTCATTTGACTTTGTTTTACATGAAAATTGTCAATTAAAAGAAAATATTTTTTTAGAATAATTCTTAGAATTTGTTTCCATTATTAAAATAAAATAAAATAAAATAAAAAATAAAATCATGAAAATCATCTATCTTTTGGTATTCGTTTGATTTTATTTTACATGAAAATTGTCAATTGGAGGAAAATATTTTTTTAGAATAATACTTAGAATTTGTTTTCACTGCAAAAAAAAAATAATAATTAAATAATAATAATAATAATAATAATAATAATAATAATAATAATAGGAAAAAAAATGCTACAGTAAACTGGAAAATGAATTCTCACCATTTTTTGTGAGAATTCAAATTCCTCCAAAATATGGAAAATGTTCATGTGGCATGAAAATGTGGAATTTGTTTTCCATGGAAAATTTCATCTATTAAACATATGAAAAGTTGGAAAATAATATTGATTTTCCATTTTCCATCGAAAACGTGAGTCTATCAAATAAGGCCTTAGATTAAAAAATGATATTTCATGGGTCTTCACTTATTTGGTAATATCAACTATGCTATGCTGACAAAAATAGTTTGTCTGATAGCGTACTCACAAAGAGGAAGGACGGAAACAATTTTTTGGCATTTATTATTCACGCGGATTCCATGCGCATGTGAGTCTTGGTCAAGGGTCTATCAATTCCCTTTGACAACTCAACTTAATTCTGGGTAGTATAGGAATTCAAAGAGCAATTGACGTTTGATTTTATTCGACTGAAAATTTAAAATTGCTTGAAACCTAAACATAGTTTCATTAGATGGGATTTAATTATACACCAAAAAATTAAAAAGGGAGGTTATTTTCAATTGCAAGTCATTAAAAAAAAAAAAAAACCCTTTCTCCTTGTGTTTTTTTTATTTTTTTTTATTTTTTTAACGAGGTGTCCCAACTTGCGCCAGACTATATCTTCGTCCCTGAACCTTCGGTCCCTCAGCTGCTCAGGGAGGTAAATCACAGGATGTGTCCTTGTTGGTTCGAAGGTTCCCACATGGCTTTTACTCCTTCCCCAAAGGAAGCCTCCTCCATGGTGATTAATCCACCAATAATTCCTCCTTTATTGGATCAAAGGTTCCCACCAGGAATCGAACTCCCTATGCTTGGTTCCAGAGCCCCCCAATGTGATTGTTCCGCCAACTTGGATGTGCCCTGAGGGGCATCTTTCTCCTTGTGTTTTCTTTTGAAGTATAATGGTTGAAGACTAAAATGATTGACTTTGGTTGGTTCTCCCTGTCATGATAGGTATTATAATCAATATTTTTTATTTTAGCGTTGGCCTAATTGTGTATGCTTTTTGTATAAATTCACAGTTTTTGTTTATTACATGACTTATAAATCGAAACTCTTCCGAATTTTAAGAAAACTTTTTGGAAACTCAATAAATGCTTTCTAGTCTTTTTCCAAAATTCAGAAACGTTAACGAAACTTCTAGGAAATTTTTTGCCACAATTATCAAAAAACCTGGATTGAGAATTTTCAAAATTAAGGATTGGAGTTGCAAAAGTATATTAATTTTCTTATACAAAGTTTAATGTCTTATTATTATTATTATTATTATTATTATATATATATATATATATATATATTTTTTTTTTTT